GATAGGGCCAGCACCAGTTAGCCCTATCTGAAGGCTCGATAGCCGCTGCAAGCCAGAAACAACACAGCAGCGTGCATCATGCCATTCCCGAACCAGGGAATTACCAGTCTGAACCGTGGCCGTCCGTACCATACCATCACCGAACCTGGAAACAACACAGTGGCGTGCGCCATACCGTTCCCGAACCAGGGAATTACCAGTCTAAGCTGTAGCAGGCTGTGTTGTCACCGTACAGCACACTGTATCGTTACCGCACCAATGCAGAGCCTGAAATGATCGCTTGGAAATGCTGTAACCCATATCGTGCCGATGCCGATACAAGACCGTGCCTGAAAACGACGCAGTGGCGTGTACCACGCCAATGCCGAACCAATACCGTTCCTGAAACATGTCGAACATGGCAAGACGCAGCGGCGCGGCAATAGTACCAATCCTGAAGTAGACCGCCGCAATCGTCCCCGACCTGAAAATGAGTCACTGCAGAGGTTCCGAACTTGAAATAAATCTCCGTGAGGGCGCCGAACCTGAAACGAAACACCGCGATGCCACCGAACCTGACCGGATCCGGAATCTAGTACCGGGCTGCTGCGCCACGCGGATGCCGAACCCGTACAACCATGCCATGATAATTCCGTACCTATCCCAAACCTGATATAGAATGCCGCAACGTTCCCGGACCTGAAAACAAATTGCCGCCAGGGTTCCTAACCTGGAATAACTGTCGTAGCGGCCCCGGCCCTGAGAATAAATCACCGCAGTTGTCCCAATCCTGAAAATAAGGCACCGTAGTCAAACAACTGTCACCGGACCCATACCGAACCTGAAGCGCGTTGGAAACCATAGGATGTAACCATTCCGTAACAACCCCCGTATCCCTACCGAACCAAACACCATACTGTCGACCCAAGGTAGCACCACCCCATGCTGTCCATGCGACTCCCGCTCTCAGAACATCTCAACTGCGGTAATGTTGTAATCAAGAAAACCAGGGAAAGTGACGCAGGGAACCTCGACCATGGGCATTAGTGAAAACTTGTTTAAAATCCGGGGAAAATGATCAATCCGGGGTCAGAGCTGATGGCGGGTAATCAAGGCGAAATTAGGCCAATCTCCCAACAGTCATGGGTTTCTGTCCCTTTCATCGTTTTTCATCATTCTTCCCTTTCCTTAATTCTGTTGTCGGAAATAGTAAATTAACTGTAAGTTCCATAAAATTTAATTCCGAGAAAGTTTAAATAAATRGCCGAATTCCTTTTGTTTCTTTTCTCTTTTACCATTTTTAATCTTTTTCTATGTTTTTAATTTAATTGTCGGGAAAATAAAATAACAARGGTATTCCCCCTAGAATTAAATGTCGTGAAAAATAAAGAAATTAAGGGATGTTATGTTTTTCCCTTCTCCCCTACTGGTCTTAATCCCTCTTTCCATCTTTAATTACGGTACTAAAATAGACAAAAATTTGAGGCCCCATTTCGCCCCGGTCGTATGCTGCGAAAACGTTGCGGCGAGGTCAACTCCCTTGATGCCTCTCCGCGGCAAGCCAATCCGGGTCTAACCCTCTGAACGGTCGGAAATGTCAGTCCCTAGACATGCCGAGTGCGGCCACCCATCTTGCTATCTTTGAGGGTTACTCATAAGGCTCATTGTCAAAGAAATGCCCGCGTAGGACCTTTGGGATGGCACGATAAAACAACTTGACCAACTGGGGCTCGGTCACCCCGTGGTCAGGGACGACTACCAAGTCGTCCATAGTACTCTTGAGTGCCTTAGCACTCCTCCAGTGCTGCGAGTGGATCGTTTGGAGCTTATCAAAGGCTCTAATGCCTCGCGTTGGGTCAGCGAACCGCTCCTTGAGGAGCTTGAGGAATTGAGAAAGAGGAGTAACTTTGGAATACGCAACCAGGTTGTTTTCACATCCGGCTGTGCGCGCAAGAGACCTGACAAAACTAGCCGCTTCATCTTTGAGGGCCTGGAAGGCCACAAAGACTTGTTCCTCGACCAAAATATGCTGCAAATAAATATAACTATTGACACTGGCTTCCCAGTTGTCAAAGTTTTCTTCCTTCTTCCCCCCGTACGCATCTGGGAACTTGAGTTTCACTGGATCCTTACGGGGTCTGGCCTCTCCCTCTACAGCGGCTACTGCTTTGGCACCCTGCATGGAGCCCTCACAAAACTTCCCTACATTATCTCTCAATTGCTTCACTTCGCCCCTAATATGGGTGACGAACTCGCGCACGAAATCTCTAAACCCTGACCGCTTGGCACTCAACGCTACATCCTGGCTCCAGCTTGCCTGRCGCTCCTCCATCCAGGCCTTGCTCAACACCTCCAGATACCCCAGTACTTTGTCCCACTTGGCCTTATCGTCTGGTTGGGCCAGCACCTCCGCCCTACACTCCTGCACCTTTGCCACCTCTGCGGTCATCTTGTTCACTTCCTCTCTCCTCTTCTTCTTCTCTCTCAGCTTCCATGCTAACTTTTGGTCCTCCTCCCTCTCTCTTCGTTCCATCGGGTCTGTCATGGCTGCTAGCTCGGCGGCCAGCGCAGCCTTCTCATCCTTAGTCACATAAGACTCCGCCTCCTCGTCTTCCCCCAACGATAAATTCGCGACCCACTCGCTGATCTTCTTCTCTAGCCCTGTATCTGTTTCTCTTGTCATCATGCCACCACTACTTCCTTCTCCACTCTCAATCCTCATCCTCTCTTTCTCTTCTTCTGCTGCCACTTCTACTTCAGCAGCTTTTTTTCTTTCTTCCTCCTCTTGTTGTACTTTCTTCATCTCCTCCTCCAATCTCTTCATCTTCGCCACCTGCTCGTCTGCGATAGCCTTTAGCTTGGCTTGCTTTTCACGCTCTTTCCTCTCCTTACTCTCTCTGACTAA